ACAGAATGATTAACTTTGCGGGTCAAAAAGGTTTGAAGTTATAAGACCATTTCGAGACACTAAGCTGAGAATCTATGTTGCCTCAAGTGTATGTGTTTACCCGTGCTTTTTAAAATTTATGTGATATTTTGCTACTTTAGGAAATCTGATACTTACTGCAGTCACGGTATCGGCCTGCTCGACCAAATAAGCCCCCGTAAATGCCACCAGTTTAATACCATATTTCACATGCCAATACACCCCCTCCCAATTCAGACCACGCAGAGCACATAACCCTGTCCCACAGCACTTGACAAACTAAAAGAGCATAACCCCCTAAACGCTCTTTAACGAGACCAGATGCTTGACCAGGTTGTGTGTGGAACGTATATACGGACTTTCCCAGCTTTGCTGGTCGCTGCGTTTTACCTCAGCACTAGACATTTAATAAGCTCGAGTAATCAACTGCTGCCTGGGAGGAGGTGGACAGGGTGAGCCTAATAGGCGCTTGAATCTGTTACGACACGCTAAAATTGATGGTTTGGAAGGTTCTCAACTGATAGGCTAACTGGGGCCGAGAAAGAGATAAGGGTGCAGCTGGAGGACGGAAGATCAGGCTCAGTGGTCTCTTATGTATATATTTCGTTTGACAGTCTCAGCATGGGGTGATTCAATACGCCCCTTTTTTTGGGAAAACCTGGTAAAGTGGACGGAGGCCAGGTCTCCTGGCGCATGCAAAGATGAGCTGTTACGTGCTGGCAGTCACTGCGTCTGAGACAACACCCGGTCGCGCTGGCTCTATATTTCCACTGGGCTCGCGTGGTTGAGCGAATGCAGAGTGCCATAGATGTTGTCTTATGCTGGTCTCATTAGAAATTAATTCCCGCGTCAGATACTGTCCTGTGCAAGCTACGCTTTAGGGCAGGCAATGGATGCCACCTTTCGTGACGGTTGAACCTTGATTTTGTGTCGCATTAAATTAGAATCAACGGGAGGCTACCTGATACGATTCGTAAAATCCATGTGAATTTGCGTAAGGGGCAGTACATATCAGGCGATTTTTCAGTCCGAA